GGGTTTTGTACTTATAAAATGCAAGCAGATTCTTATTTTAGCATTATTTTGATCCCATCATGTTTATTGGAAATTTTCCCTTTTAGGTCAGGATTGCATTTAGGGATGGAAGGACAGGGATGTGTTATACTGGTTAATTCTTAGTAATCATAAAACATAACTGTATAACAATTGTCTTCAACCTACTTTGTGATACATCCTCAGCAGTGCTTTTAATCCTGTTTAAGAAGCGGATGTTTAATCTCTAAATTTCCTCTCCAGAGTGAACATATAGTTTTTGGAAAACACTTCAAATTTAGGCAAAGTGAAGAGTGTGTGTTAAACATAATGAATAATAATGTTTAACACACCTTCATCTGATGATGGGAGCAGCTGCAAACATCAGCATCTACAATGCAAAAATTATCTAAAATGAGTAGAACCTTCTTAAAATAAGTCTATTTAATGTTAATTTGAGTTGGTAAACAAGATAATCCGCCTAATATTATGCACTTGTAATAAAAGACCGCAGTTTTTTAATTATTTTAAATGTAAATTGTCTTATTCTTATTCCATTGGCAATAGTGTCAAGTGTCCTACTTACCTGCTCAATTCAACTAAATATGCACTAATTTTAAGAAATACTGACTTACTTTGACATGAATATTTTGCATAGATAAAATACATGTTTGACTAGCTAAAACAAAATCTACCTTACTACATACAAATAGCTACCTACACAATAGGCTTTACCAAAGCCTTTGATATTGGGTGTTATAAACACCATCTTACAGCAACACCAACAGGACAGAGGTGGATCAAGTTAAAGCTGCACAAAATGCAAAAATAATGTAATGTCATTTTGTTTTTTTTTACATTGATTACCATATTAATTACATTTATTTGATATTTCACTCAGGAAGATCATTGGTAATGACAGCCTCCTAAACAAATCAGGTATTTCTGAGTAATCAGCCTTTCTGTCTAAATGTGGTGATAATTCAAAAGTTTACAGGCATATTCAAAAAACTTACTGCCATTTGTTTTTATTCTAAATGTTTTTAATAGTAGAGAGGACTCTTTAATGATGGCTCCTTTATTAGCTTTAGCCTCCATCTATACTAAAAGAAAATCCTATGAGTTATTCCCTTCGGTAACTCCTTACAGTATATTTGAACAGAACCTCACCTATAATGAACTGTGAAGTAAAGTTTCACCTCATCTTACACTAATTCTAAAATTAACCAAACCTCATTGACAATATTGTCACATTGTTAGTAATGTCCAGAAAAAAATACTTTGCTCTGCTGCATCAGCATGAACCACTTTTTTTTTATTTTAACAGAATACGTTTAAAAAAAAAAGTTGCAGTGATAAATTGGTGGAGTGAACCCTCAAGCAGGTTACCCTGTTGCCTTGTGTAGTGTGAGACCCTGAGGCTCAAAACAAACTTTCCTTTTCAGCCTGGAGCTGAAAAAGCAACAACTTTTCAGCTGACATGTAGACGTCTACTGCACAGGCGCACTGACAACACACACCTGCACACCGATTTCTGCTCAAGCACAAAAACGGGCACATGTGAGACGACACACATGCATGCATGCACGGTGACACAACTTTGTGGAGAACAATAACGCCCACCCTGTGAATAAATTCAACTAAACTTGCATGATGGGAAACTTAACTGTGCCAGCACGTGTCTCTTTGGTGTTATTTGACCGTTTTGTTTTTGCTTTAGGTCTTGTTCTTATTTTCCAGAGCTATGTAATAAGCCATCTGTGTGTTTTTTCTTTTCTTTTTTTTTTAAAGAAAAAAAAAAAGAAAAAAATTCTGTTTTTGATTTGAATGTAGTGTGAACACAGAACTCGCATGAGAGAATTATTTTCTACTGAAGATGTTTGTAATTTGTTTCTTATCGTTATTGTTTAAATGAGGATGAAGCGGAGCTGGAATGCAGCCTGATTGTGATCTGCTTCCTATTAAAAGGATGTTTTTTTGTGTCACAACTAAGAAGTCTCCCTGAGAGTGTGTTTTTTTTTTTTTTTTTTTTTTATAAATGCTACATCCATAAAATAAATAGAGCAATGTAAATAAAAGGCTGTTTATCGGGAAAAAAAAGTTATGCAAAGGCAGGAAAAGTGACTGCTAAATTTTCTTATCAGAAATCTTTGTGGATCACAAATTGCTGCTTTTTAAAAAGCAATTAAAAAGAGGTCTGGCTTAATTAAAAAAAAGATCAAAATTTCCCCATTAGGTGTCTGACAGCCTCAAAAAAAGAGTTAAAAATGCAGAGAAGTTGAGCCAAATCCTGCTGCTCTTTACATTAATAGGATTTTACAATGGTTGTTTGCAGACTGGATCAGGATACCTGCTTTGAGGTTCCCTTTAATAGCATCTCCCACCGAGCTGTCTAAGAAAACCTGAAAAGCATTTAATTTTTAAGCTCGTTTTACACTGAAACTAAAAATAATTGCTACAAATACCTTCTGGGAGTCGCCCATTTAGTAGAGTCCACCTTTGTTGTCATTGAGGTATTCTGTGAAAGCCTGATCGAGAACATCATTAAGCAGACAGTACAATGAATAGAAAGGATGATGGCAGCAGAATATCCCAGGTTGTAAACTGGTCAGAAAAGTAGATTTTAGCAGGTCTTTAATTAGTGAAAGAAAGCAGCATCATTCTGTGAGGATGCCTTTATCAGTCAAGTTTATCTAAATTGATTGAAAAAGAGGATTAATTTAATTTAAACCATTAAAGAGGATCTGTTAGATTCTGTGAGACTTGAGAGCAGGGATAGAGTTTCACCTACCTCAGGAAATATGTCTTTAGCATAGAGATGCCATGCAACGGTTTGGATCACATCAACCAGGTCAATATTCATTCAGGCTGAGCTTTTTTCCACAAAGAAACATGGATAAAACCATAATTTGCTGTTAGATACAATAAAAAAAAATAGAGGCTCAAAAATCAAAAAGTTGGATTTGATGCTGTAAACCATAAGCATCCAAATAAAGAGAAAATATTTACCATAAACTCCCCCTGTAAATAATTGCCACTTGTCAATTTTAAATAGTTAAATTACACCCTAAAAGACAGGAAAATCTATTATCTGATCCATTCTAAAGTGCTTCATTATTTAAGCTTAGGTATCAGCTGTGCGTCTGCTGCCATCATGTGGTTAGATCACCCCCCCCCTTTATAAATGAGGACAAGAGGCACAAGGTGGTATTTTTACAGTAAAAAAATGAAACCAAAAAACAAGACTTTATTAAAGAAGCATAAAAAATAAAACTCTTGATACATTTCTCATAACCGTCAAGTCAGCTCAAATTATACGATTATACAATTTCTCCGGCTCACGGTTAAAAGGTCCATAAACTTTCAAATAAAATATATTTCAATTTTAAAATTTCTTCAATAATTTTTCTCATTTTGTTATAAATTGCCTATATGTAGTACACAGGAAATAAGGAAAACAAAAAAATGGAAAATTAAAAAATAAAAATTTTGAAGTCATAAAAAGGGTCACATTATTGTCTGGGATATTTAGGAAGCAAATAAAATCGTAAAAAATTAAACATGTAAAAACTTTTTTTTTTTCTTCTTAAAAATTATTAGCTAATGCCAGGTGGCTTTGAAGACATGCAGATGGTTAACTTACAAATAATGATACATGTTCTTTAGAAACTACACTTATCAATTAAGTCCTTTTTGCTTTTGAAGAAAAAAAAACCCAACAAAACAAGGTGTTGATTGTATCCAGGGTATTTACACACAGGTTAGGCCTGAAACCTAGTTCACTGACGGTTTTAACATTTTGGTTCTGCATACAAAGAGAATTAAAGCAAAAATAGAAGAGAGCAGGGAGGCTTGAGGGGAGTCATTACCCCCTTTAGCTGGCGTAGCTCTCTTAGCATCCCCCCTCTAATCACCAGAGAGAAAAAAAAGAAAAAAAAAAAAGGTCAGAGGTCACTGACTAGCATGCCTCAGGAAACCCTGTTTTCAAACCTTAAGGAAGGAATTAGGGGAGGGCAATACAATTATCTAAAAAAAACATTTAGAAAAGTCAATTTGAAAAAAACTGTACCTTTTTAACATTTAAAATTACTGTACATCAACCCTAACATTTGCTTGTTGGCCCAAAATAAAAACCCCTCTAAGAGTGAACGAGAAAAAACCCACCTGGTAGAATACAACGATTTCTTCTTTAACACGTCAGCCTGGACAGTTTAAAGAAAGGGCCTCAACAGACTCGCACCAGGCATCAGAGATGTGCTCGTTCAGACAGCCCGGCATCTGTTCCCTGTTTAAAGACGCAAAACGCAGCAACACATCCGACAGGAAAGAAGAGGGGAACAAGGGAGGGGGTTGCTGCCGGTTTTAACACGAGAACGGGAGGGGGGAGCTGTCGGGTCTAAGGTTCACCCAGGGTTTTAGGAGGGGTTGTTCTGGTTCCCTCACTGCCTTGTTCGTCTGAGACTCAGTAGAGAGTTGCACCAAAAAGCACCATGGACGCGTCTGCATTCAAGTTGATAACTAACCGGAGCACCAAAATCATAACTTGGATAAATCACCGTTCATATAATCAGTAAAAACCCCCTGCAACCTGTCCTGATCAGTGACCGACTTCTGGCTACACACAAGCAGGACCCGAATGAGATGAAGCGTGCAGGGATGACTGATTAAAACAGAAAACAGCAAGAACATTCTGCAGCTGCTGGGATTGGAACACAAGAAGTGTCTGGAAGCCCTGGATGACCTAGCTACTAGCTGCCATAAAGGATAAGTTGATTCTTCCTATACGGTGAGAGCCTGAACATGTGTGATTATGTGTCTGTGCAGTCAGAGGAAGCCCTTAATAATGCTCATTTTACTTTTAGTCGTCATGGCTTGTCTCATTCTATGAGGGAGAGAAAAAAAAAAAAAGGAGGGCCACCGATACAGACTCCGCCACCAGAAATGCAGCGTTTAACACTTATAAAGAGGCAGTTACTGCAAACTCATTCAATGCTTTTTTTTTTCCCCCAAAGGGAAAAAAAGAACAAAACACAAACACAAAACAGGACGTTCCTGCCTTATTGAAGTAATGCTATGAAACACAGGACGAATCTAACTACTAACTAAATAGTGCACTACATTTTGCAGAGTACAGCGCTGTATAGATAGATTTAACACACCTGGGCACTCAACCCTTAAAGGGGGCATCTCTTCTAGGGGTGTTGAGTGAAATAAAAGCAGAAAACAAGCATAAACTGCAGCTTTAGGTGCATCGAATGATCTGCAATAATGGTGAACCAGCAGGTTTCTATATTCTAGCATACATAAGACTTAAAGGTATAGTGGAGGATATCATTTATCTGGGTGGATCATCAAAATAAGTGGTCCTCCTAATTGTCAATCATCGTTTCCTCTCGGGAGCAGGTACAGGGTTGTGCATTTGCATTTTGTTTAAATTGTAGAGGACGGAACATTTCAAAAATTCACAAAATTCTCCACTATACCTTTAAATATCCATTGAAGTCACTGTTAATGAGATGCTTAACATACAGAAGCACAAATAATCCACTTGTACACAGCCAACGAACATTAAATAAGCCTGCATACTAACTACATTTGCAGGGTTTGCATGTAGCATGAGAACATGACCAGGTTTTCCAACCAATCAATAACTTCCTTCATGTAATACCCAATGCGAGCAGGCCATGCCCATTTCTGCTTTTATCACACCCAGCTCCCTGGAAGATCCATTTACTCCCACTCAAAATTACTCATTTCCTTTCTGCCCCAAATAAATGGGGGAGCAGCCATTAGAGAGGGGGAGACTGAATCCATCTATAGGTACAACAGTGTCATCTGAGTGCCGTACAGCTTTGCTGTGAGAGAGGTGGAAGACTGAAATAAAAAAACAGCAACAGCCGTTTCAGTTTTCTTTTTTTTTTAAGAAAGGGGTTTCAGTGCGTGAAAACTAAAAAAATCAACCCCCTTGTCAGTCTTCTGTCCTAAACCGTATTGGAGAAAACATTCTCATGTGACATCAAAGCCCTGTCTCATCCTAAAGATCATAAGTCTTAACCACACACACTCACTACACAGACAATAACAAACTAGAGAAAGAACCCACAAAAAAATAAAATGCACAGATCTAAGTGTAACAGACGAGATGATCGGATGAAGGTAATGGTGCCCTGTCGAGGTGACGACACATCGGTACGACTGGGCATCACTCCAACACAAGCGCGCAAGAGAGAGAGGAGTGAAGGGATTGTCAGGCAGTCCAAACATACAAACTGACCACAGTCACAGGCCATCAGCATCGCTAAAACTGGTACGCCTTCACTTATTACAGAATCATCAAACAGCCACACTAATAATGCGGCAAAGACTCATCCAAGTTTTACCCAACGTGTTTACCAAACGGAATCAAGGAGTAGGTCTCAATAATCATTTGGCTTGGTTATCGGATGGCTAAATTTCGTGCGACAATGAGAATTCACCCTGAAAAGGTTCCTGCTAAAATGTAGTGTTTTCCCAATAGGTGCCTGACAGACATGCCGACCAAAAGAAACCTAAAAAAATAGAATAATGTTCCAAGAACCTTTTCGTCTTTGTGTCACAAAAGGGAATAAAAAATAAAAATTGGCATGAAGGAGCGAAATAGCACAGAGGAGAATTTGGGGTATTCGGGGGCGTTAAAATGAGGAGTAGAAAAGTGCGGGCCTCATTGACAGTTTTATCGAAAAATATCTGTTAAGTACAAAAGTGTCAAAAGGAAAAAAGGCTGTGAGAGAGAGAGAAGCAGGCAGATCTCAAGAAGCCAGAATGAAGACGCGTGGAGACGGACGGGCTGGCGGGCGGGCCGCCCGCAGTGGGAGGGGGAGGGAGGGGGGGCGCTCCACGTCAAAATGAAGGCCTGAAGAGATATAAGACACTAGTTTCCTTCCATAAGTTCACTGCTGAGAGACTGCCTGAGCCCCAACTGTCTGCAGACACGTTTCAATCCACTTCCCTTGGAAAATAAGTCATTATTATTATTATTATTGATATTATTCATCTTGACAGTTATCAGCAATATATCAACATCCATTAAAGTATCATCATCTTTATTAATGCATTTAATATGGTCCATCATCTGTGTGAAGGTTATTAGTGTGATTCCTTCCATTTCCTCCACTACAGCTGGTACCTGGCTGCCTCTCACACCTTCCCTAAATATCTGACCCCGCTCATGGCATTAGGAGAAGATGCGGATGCACTGTGTGGTCGGAGTGTGGCAGACGGGGCATTCGGGTTCGGCAGACTGGCAGATTTGCCCGGCGCATTCCATGCAGAACAGGTTGTGGCCACAAGGCACGAGGGCCGCTGTCACCTCGCTCTCGAAACACACAAAGCAGTCCCTGTTGACCCCCGGGCCGACGGCGACCAGTGCCGAGACCCCAGAGCCACCTTTGAGCCGGCTCAGCATCCCGGAGGTGATCCCGACGCCGCTGCCGCCGCCCTCGGAGTCAGTGGGCGAACCGCCGGGCAGGGATGATGCCGAGCAGGAGGAGTAGCCAGTCGATGAGCCGCCAGAGCTGGAGCTGGAGGCGCCTGAGAAGGAGCCGCCTCCCGTGCTGCCAGACTGCAGCCAGGAGAGAGTGCTGAGGGGGTCACTCTGCGCGCGACGAGCCAGTGGGTGATCCAGGGGGCCAACACTCGTATCCTGAGGCAGAGTCGGAGACAGTCGCGGAGTGATGGCACCGCCGCTGAGGCCGCTGCTGTTTCGGCGTAGAGGTTGCTGTTGAGAAGAAGCGGAGGTCTTATTCCCTGCTCCGCCGTTGACGAAAGGCGCCCAGATGTTGGAAGCACTGAACTCAAAGCCCAATTCATCGGAGGAAGTCAGTCCAGGGGTCGAGTCCCCTCCAAAGGTGAAACCACCTCCAGCGCTGCTGGAACCTGTGCTGAAAGGACTGGTGGGGCTGCCCCCCTCGTTAGGCTTCCTGTTGGAGCTGAAGCTCTCTGAGCTCATCCCGCCATTGTGCGTGTGATAGGCAACCGAGGAGGACATCTTCCTGCTCGAGGAGTGGTGTATGGACATGGGAAGAGATGGTGGAGGGGAGGGAGCAGGAGGAGGAGGGCCAGAGTGGTGGCCTGTAGCCCTGGACCACAGAGACGCTCCCAGTCCTCCGCTCAGGGAGCCCAGGCCTTCTAAGCTGACGTCGGTGCCGTTGGTGTGGAAGTCGTTGTCTCCCTGTAGGTCTACAAAGGTTCCAGTTCGGAGGGTGATGTGGGTCTCGATTTCCTCCCTCGCTCGGTCTACGTTTTCCGGCATTCCCGTCACCTCAAAGACGGGGTCTTTCTCTCGGCTAGGGGTAACGATGTAGGTGTGAGTCTGCTGCTGGATGCGCTTGATGGTTGCTCCTTTTGGCCCCACGACTAACCCTACCACTCTGTAAGGAACCCTCACCTGGATCAACAAAAACAGACATTAATCCAACCCGAATAATATTCTCAGATATTTCTAATTATTAAACCCCAAACTGTGTCTGTACCTGTATGGTGGTCTGTCCCGGCAGGTGGGGTGGGCCGGGCAGAGAGCCACCTCCTCCTGGCCCTCCGGCTTTGCAGCGAGATGCCCGGATCATAGAGAAATGCTCGGCTGCAGATACAATTTCACGCTTGGCCATTTCCACATCCTCCCGGCGCCCTGTCACGATGAACACCGGATCCTCCCCTCTGACTGGAGTCTTTATGTAGGTGTTTGTTTTGGCACGCAGGGCCTTGATCTTACAGCCTGAAAAGTCAGAGCAACACATAACATTTTAAAACAAACACTTTTTAGCCTAATATAAATTTAAAATTTGTAAACAAAACAGCAGCTAGTTCAAGTTTAAAGCATTTGCTGAAAACAGGATACAATTTGGAGGCTTTCTGTGGATAATTTTAAACAATATCACAAGTTTCTAATTTCACTTCCATAAAGAAAGCTCAGTGGAACAGTCGTTATAATGATATTAATTATTTTGACATTTTTTTTAGACATTTGTAAAGCCTTCAAATGCATCCCATGTTTACAACCAATTATCTACTGCTAAAACTCGAAATTCCAGGAGCATCTGTCTGTAATACATGGAGGACATCTTCAGAGACAAAATATGGAACAAAACAAACAAAATAGACAAAGTAGAGCTGGGAAAAAAAAAAGACTTATGGAAGGGAGGCAGTTAAAAAGAAAAGACAGCCAAATCATTAATAAGCATCTTTCAAACTACAATACAATTTTAGAGCTTAGAGCTATTAATTACCATGACAATGTGGAGTGATAGCTTAATGCAGTCCTCCCCCCCACCTGCAGACTGCTTTTGTAGTCCGATTGAAAGGCGCCCCCCCCACCCCACAACAAAAAATTACAACCCCCTCACACAGTCCATCAAATATCAATTTATTTTTTCCATTGTTTTCCCTTTAGAAGAAAAGCTGATATGGTTTTTGTCACATTTCCATATGTCATAATATATTTGGTCTGTTTTTCTTTTGCTTTTTCTTGAAATCACTTACAAAAGCTTTTATAGATAACTAATCAATACATTACAGAGGGAATAGATTTTAATATGGATCTTATTAGGTTTAAATTAAGGTAAAGAAATCCTGTTCTAGAGATGCATTTTTTATTTATTTTTTTTAACTATGCTATGACTTTTATACAGGTTCATAACTAAAACTGTATCACAATATACTGTTTAATAGGAAATCATAATATACTGTTTAATAGGAAATCATAATATACTGTTTAATAGGAAATCTGTCCTGAGAATTTTCCCTGCAAAAATCCAAGTAATGGATGCTTATGCCTGGCACAAGTTAAGATGCATTAAGTCAACAATTGTAAAAGTAGTAAAAAACAAACACAAAGAGCCCAACATGACGCTAATAACATGAATTTAACGTTATCCTGCAACCATTGTATTAATTTAAATCACTGCAAATGTTTTACACAAACACCTACACGTTTCCATTATGTGGAAAATACACACTTCTAAGCGTTAGATTGGATAATTAACTTCAATCAGCGCACCCTGCTGCCGCCTTGTTTATATCCGGTGTTGTCTAATCGTGGTCAGCCATCACTGAAAACGAGGACAACCCAGCCAGCAGGTATTCCTGGTATAAACGAGGCAAAGTAAAACCTAAAGTGGGTAACTGCAGTCTGGCCGTGCAGTGTTATGTTATGTTGGCCTAGAAGCCAGGAGGCGGCACTGTCTCTTTAAATGCCAGCTCTTCACTGCCGGCGACCAATGGGGCGCGCGGAGCGTGATGTCATCCTGGGAAGCAGAAAGCATGGCTTTTTCAAACAAAGGGAACAATGCCGTAACGTTAGCGCGGCTGCGGTGAAAATATCAAACCCTGAAACACACCTACATCCTTAATTAAGTTAATATGTTAAAATGATATATAGTGACAGGAAGGACCCGTTTGTGTGAAAGCGATCGGTTTCCAGGCGATCGGCAGCATCGACAGACAGCGCTGGGTGCAGGGCGTTTACACCGCCCAGTCCCGTGTTTGTGCGCCTGCTTGCCCCTGTTTTTAGCTTCCAATCCTCTCAGAAATCGCGATAACAAGAGACTTTGACGCGTTTTTACATGAGAGATGCAATGTAAGGAGTCCAAGCGGACACTTTCTATGCGCCATGCAGACCCGGAGCAGGCTTTTGCTGGGTTTTCTTTGTTTGGTGCAGCCTTCTAGACACGTCCAGACTCCCGACAATCTGCTGCTTTGTCTGACCCTCTTCCACCCCTCCCCCTCTATCCTCATCAGCCACCCTCGCTCACCCACTCTCTGTCAGAGTATTGTCTGATTATTAAGAAAATTAAGGCGGTAAATAAGATGTTTACATTTTTTTAAATCTAGATTCCACTCTGTGCTCCTTTTAAAAAAATAATCAAAACAACGTGATCAGAGAAGCATGCTTTATCCTCATAAAGTTTTAAGTCCGGGGAGCCCTCCTCCCACCAGACAACCACCCAAACAAAGAGCAACCACGCTCCAACATAAACACAAACATGCAATTATCATAATTATCACAACCACCTCCATCAGACGCGCTCCCTTACCTTGTCTCCCCACTATTTCAGCCACATGCTCGGAGCTCGGGACAGGCACACATTCGGTCATGTTTACGCTTCTTTTCCTGTTGCAGAGGACGGAGCTTTGTTCCCCGTGGAGCATGGAGTGGGACCCGGCCATGTGGTAGCCGCCCGAACCATAATACTCTGGGGAAGGAGAGCAGGACGAGGGCGAGTCCCTGGACCCGTTGGGATGCTCCATCATCTGCAGATCCACGTAGCCCCCTCCACCTACACCATTGCACCCATCCGAGCTCGGACCCTGGGTCCCGTCCAGAGTGTCCACCAGCCCGTTACCTCCACCACCCCCACAATCCACTTTATCCAGGCCCATGAGTGACAGCTGGTCCAGCGCGAAGCGTAGAACCTCCTGGTGGTCCTCATCCCGGGACTCCTGGTCCGTCTCCCGGGGCAGAGCCACGCCACTGTGCTGGCTGCTGATCACCACGTCGTGGTCCATTATCTCGGGGTGGAATAAAGGGCTAGGCATAGTCTTTCCGTGGATCTCACATCAGATCACGGATGCCCGTTTGTAAGGAGTGATCTCACCCTCAGCTGAAATAACAAAAAAAAAAAAAAGATAAATTAAAGAATGATAAACATTAAAGCATGTTTTTAATAAAAGTTTAAAAACATGTTGTGGATGAGCACCCATTAAAAGCAGCATGAATTAAGTGTTGATTTAAGCGCCTTGCTTTGTCTGTTGTGGCAGTAAGTCTGACAACTGAACCCATCCAGCAGACTGCTTGTTTTGTCTTGTCCCAACACAAATTAATTCAATCATTTCTTAAAAATATCCACACAGAAAACGTCCACCTTTATCTCCGCTCATAAATATAAGTATTAGGACAGTTTAAAAGCAAAGTAAAGAATGAAAATGAGCTGTTTTTAGCTTAAAGAGGAGAGCTAACAAGCTAGCTCCACAGTCACGTTGTCGACCCCTTTGTTTGGGAGCACCGCGGCTAGCTGCGTTAGCTCCGCTCTGCCACACCAACTTATGTTTAATAGAGAAAGCAGCAGCGTTGTTGTATTTTTTCTTAAATTCAAAAAAACATCACAAACTTACTTTATCTGACTGCTGGTATCCTTTCTTCGCTTGGTGTTTCTGCCTCGAGGGAAAGACGAAAAGCAGCAAGAAAGGAGGAGGAGATGAGTGCGGCGCAGTGAGCTTAGCGCGACAGCTAGCTAGCAAAGCTAAACGGGGGGCGTTGGAGAAGAGGAAAAAAACATTAAAAAGCGAAAAGGGGGTCAGTGGTGTTTTTCTTTCTTCCTGGAAAGCCAAAGCACAGTCCTAACAGCGGCGCTCAGTCTTCATTCTCAGTCTCGTTAGAAGCGTGGCTGAAAGCCGAAGCTGGGAGTTCCCTTTGAGTTAGAAACCAGTGATTCTCTGCTCCTCTCGCTGCTGCCGCCTGACCCCACTCGCTCCACCGCCTTTGTCTCGCCAGGCGCACGCCGCTCCGTCTGCCGCACACACGGCACTGACGTCAGCCGCGACACAACAATGGGTTCAGAGGCCACATGCAGCATCTACTGGCTCCCAATCTCAGACAGCGGGGCTTAATTTGCTGGAGGAGCGGTTTAAAGCGCGTTATTGCAGGACGGATGGATCCGAAAAATAACTGAATTCCAATAAAAGTATATGGTCATTATTTGGGTGTGTTCATTATGGCTACCAATGAGGTGTTTGGGGTGGTCCAATAACATCTCTGAGCGACGCTCATGCTCAGTGGTATTGTTTGCTTCATGGCTTATTTTATAACAGGAGGAACCAGAACGTTTTTGATTAAATTACAACATTCACAAAAATACTGAAAGGACCCTTTATATAATACACTTGAATAAATACATATTTTACATATTTGTTTCTTTACCAATTTATAAGATCATGTCATTCAAAGAAACAATGATTCTTATATTCTTATAATTTTGTTTCACTGTCCCCATTTCTGCAAACACAATGGTGGAAAAATTTCTTACACAAATATCCTTTACACATATCAAATTTGGTTGTTGTACCAGCTTCACGAAGCGTCAACGTTGTCAGATCATTTTTATATTGTTGTGATAAGGGAGTTTTCCCCTACAATGTGAAATAAAGTGATGCTGCTTTCAATTTCCTTTTTTTCCCACAGCAGGTCAGCCCACTTAACCAGGATGAGACGCAGAAAGAGGATTAAAGATAACTGGTTAAGATCCCCTAATGTTTCATATATTTAAGTAGTACTGTTGAATATTTCTTACACCTGTATCCTCGGTTGTGTGAGTGTATCAATCAAGCGTACAATAGAATGTGTTTGTTAGAAAAAAAAACCCACAAACATTCAAAGTCTTGACAGTTCAATACAGCTAATCGTACTCATTAATCTTTACACAGTGAAGATAAACAGATTTGTTCAAAAGAAGCTGCATTTATTCCATAAAGTAAAGTAACAACGTACAGTACATCAGCGTTGTACAGTTTCAGATACCTGTTCAGATCTCTAATGAATCTCCGAACTTTAACGTTGTTGGCAAAAGAACAAAACATATCTGACAATGCAAATACAATGACTCCGGTTTAGTAAATTCAAATGAATTATGAGAAGAACTGACCGTAAAACTTGAAGACAGTTTATTTACAGCCATGAGTGCTGTGTTTCATACAAAAAAAAATAAAAATACTGCTGCTCATCAATGCTTTCAGAAACACACCATAAAACAACCAACCTGCAGTATCAGTAAAATGTAAAAGCAAGACAATCTGGGGGTAGTTAAAAATATACAGCTTTTGCTGAACAGACAAACGTTATAACATAGAAATTCACATATGTGAGGTTTGTAACTTCAACACTGAGGTTAAACAGCTGGAAACTAAATGTAATACTGCATTGTATTGAGCACCATCCACAGCTGCCTTACATTAGTAGAGGTAAAACAAACATAACAAAAAGAAGCACCCTTAGAGGATTACACTAACAAGTGTAAAAACTATAGAGCATAAAGATGACAAGTCTTTGTTTAGGTTAGAAAAAAAATGAAAGATTTCATTGTTTTTCTTTTTCCTACATACTATTCAAAATGGAGTTTTTTTAGTATATGGAGTTTAACAGCAAACCTGAGGAAAGATGAGAACATAAATCAGGAATGTATAATAGTTTATATCTCTGTAAACCCTTCTCTGATGAATGAAAGGATTTCTGCCACTCATGCTGTGTTTCTATCTACCTTGGCTATAACTCATCCTTCTCCAGCGGTTCAGCCTTCTTCTCCTCTTTGTCAACTACTGCATCTGCAGCAGCATCCTCTAGATGAGCAAGAGAGTCAGCCATCAGTGCCTCCTCCAGCCGTCTCCGTACGTTCTGCACCAGGTCCTCCTGCCTCCTGAGACGCACAAATAAACGCAATCAATGTCGTTTAACATATAACGCCACGATTTACACATCATTTTCTTACAGTGCTGTCATTAAAATGGATATAATATAAACATGTCATAATCTACCACACAATAGCCATGCAACCATCCATAAAAGCTTGACAGGCCAAAAGTATTAGCATCATTACTGCAGACACAGCCCCAGTCGATCTATCAGTCTGCAGGGATCCCAGACTCCCAGCATAAAGCACTAGAACCACGGCCTTAGGTTTGGAGAAGCTGACCCTGTTCCACCTGCTTAGCATGAAACTAAGAAGGGAGGGGAAAATAAACATGCTTCCAAAAATTTTCAAGGCAAGTTTATTTATTAAGCACATTTCAGGAGCAAATAAAAATCTGAAAAAATGTACTTGCATTTGTGTTTTGTTTGGTTTTAACATATGCCCATAGCAGAGGCCCACAGTAGATCAAAATCATGTAGAGATCCACAGCTCAGTGACAATTATTAGCCATACAGTCTATAAATATGAACCAATCACTGCATATCTGAATGCACCATGTCCACAGATAAACAGTGCGGTGGCAGCATGATGATTTGAGAATGTTTTTCTAGAGAAAGGGAATCGAATCAATTGATAGGGATAAAGAGAGCTTAACACGGGGCAATACTGAAGATCTAAAAGGCTTTTATTGGAGTAGCAGTTTATCTACAGGGTAGAAAAAAGGCATAAACATAAAGCAAGAGCTACAATGGAAGGGACCAGTCAAAGTCCAGCCATAAATTCTAATTAAAAATCCATGAAATTAATTAAAAACCAGACCAGGAATCAGTGTAGGGTCTCCCTTGCAGCTTGTTTCCCCCTGTAATGCACATTGTTTGAGTCGGGCTTAAAGAGCACCAGAACAGAACCAATCAAGAGACTTCAGAGGTCTTCGAAAAGATGCCTGAGGTTTGGTGGGTTGTTGCAAATGAAATGATATAGTACAGCCAATTTTCTACATGCTAAATGCTCCAAGTGTTTCGTTGCCCTCAAAGCTGACCCAGCTGAGTCTAAGAAGCATTAATGACCAGAGGCAGTCTAAAATCGGGTTAGCTCTACCAAGGCAGTCTGCATTTATTTATGTTTTCTCTCATTTATTTCAGTATTTCAATTACTATAATCTATGGCAGGAATTTACTTTGGGATACAACAGCCAATATTTGCCTTTCAAATTATTTCAAGTTATCTTTTCATTTTTTACGAAACAATAATCTTATACATGCAAATGTTTATGTTTTATATACTTTGTGATCTTAATTAGTTATTTGTCTGTACTCTGCTCACTGGTGTTTGGCAGCTTGTTCATAACGTTCTATATTTACACTTTAAGTTTTTAGGAAACAAGCAATTCTAAATATACAGAAACATGTGATCACAAGACATTCTGTTTTCCTGAGGAAGATTCAGCCTGAGCTTCTCAAAAGAAAATATCCACCAAGGCTGTGAAGCTTCTACATAGCATTTTAAATAGGCACATTTTAATGCTGCTGCTCAGAGTAAATCATTTATTAATTGAGAAATGAGGATAAAATAAAATAATTTCTCATGTCTTTTTTGTTTCTGTAATTTTTTTTGTTGTTTTTTTCTTTTTTTTTTTTTTTTAACAGTTAGAAAATCCAACGAGTCATCCTGTTTTTCTCAGACCTGCGGCCCATCTTCACGTTGCACAGCTGGTCAGAGTGCTCTGATTATTATAGGTGGACAGGAGGCGCAGAGAGTGGACCTGTCTACCAGACTTTTAAACAAAGATACAGAGCAGACCAATTCCAACTAATACAGGGGAATCTTAATCGCAAGTGTAATGCTCATGTTACAATGAAGTAGTAAACATGCTGGACACAGTTTTGTTTTTGACAGCCATCTTAGATGTAGTCTTCAGGATGAAGTCTATTAGTTTTAGTCACGTTTAAGTTATTACTATATAAGGTTATAGTCAGTTCTAACCATCTAACCTTTACAATTTCAAATAACAACCCTAGATACTACAATTGCTGGGTATAGAAAGCTGCCATGCAGTTCATCATTACTGTTGGGCAGAAAACTTCATAGAATTCAAAAAATCTTTATGAATAAATGCTCTAATTTATACTAAAGTGTCTCACAAAAACTCTGAAAATAGCAGATCTAGTTCAACACATCATATTGATTAATGTAGCAGACAGACAAGCTAACAAAATGTACAATAAAGGAATGGTTTTAGACATACAAGGTTTCCATTAAAAAGCAAACACTTCTGGATCTACTATGAATTATGCATTACACACAGATCAATACAATCTTCATTACTCCAAAAAACAACCTGGGTCTTTATCCAAAAATGAACTGCATGCAATGAAATATTTGCTTTGGATATAATTTAGGGATTCCTTTTGGTAGAGATTAAAGAAGGTTTAGTATCAACTCTTGTGAGTTGGAAGAAATAAAATCTTTATAGTTAGACAAAAGGATTTTTTAAACACTTGGCAGAGGATGATCGGTGCTATATAGTTTATTAAGTCGCGAGAGCAGGAAGAGACATACTGCTGAGAGCGAACACATTTTCGTCATCAAAGATCCACGTTTAGCTCGTCAGTTTTGGTTATAGTCATAAAAAAAAAGTAAATGAAATAATTTTGTCATAGTCATCTTTGATGAAAACAACACTGGCTGGAAGGTGTAACCCTTTAGTTATGTGTTTAACCATAAACATGGTCTGTTATGTCATCTTCTGACCCAACTTAAGATTTGTTTCCCTACGGCGCAACCATTCAGCTGGATACTAAGCCTCCACACTAGTACTCCAATACTACGTTTTTTAAACACTACAAAAACTCAGACTGATGGCAACAATTCAAGCAGAAGCTAGTTAGAAACTGAAGCAACCTAAGCAGCTAAATGTAGTTCATCAGCACAGGGTAACATGGCTGGAAACACAAAAAATTAACAGATCTACTACTGGAAACATTTGGATGGAAAGGAGCCTTTTTTTAAAGTTTAAAAATATCCATTGTCCAATTAATTGTAATTTTAAAACTTCCAAAGCAAGTGTTGTCAGAGAGAGAGCTAAAAACGGTTCGGTTCTTTTAACACCAATTGGTCCTACCTGATGTCATCGTCGGTCACCACAAACGCTTTGCAGAGCGGCTGTGTTGTATTTAGCCAGACTCCAGGGTTTTTCTCCACTGCAGCAGTTAGCTGGCCAGTGATGGGTGCTGGGCTTGTGTGCAG